TTATCAAGTGAGTATGTAGAGCATTTGAGAAATTTGGGTAAAGACTGAGATAATGCTCTCTGTATGATTCATAACCTCCCTTTAAATCTTCTTCAATTCTGCATGGTAAAGTTAGCAGTAGTTGTTGATAAAAGAATTGTTCTCCATCTTGAACTTTCAAAAAGTGGAACTGTACAACTATTGGCTTTCTCCTTTCTACAACAAAATTATTGAACTCATCCTGATAGACCTGCCTGCATGCTATAATAGTATATAAATTTTAATTTTAAATTTCTAATTAGATAATATAATTTTTTATAGAATTTTAATAATATTTACCTTCTCCATTAGTATTCCTGGATGATAAACCAGGATATTTTGTGACTAAATTAAATTTTTTAAAATACTCAGGATATATCAGATTCTCAAATATAGAATGCCTTGGTCGAGCAAAATATTTCTCTATACAGTCCTTCCAGAATGGATCCTCATTTTCAGCATGAATGGCAAATATAGGTTTGATTGCTTTGGTTCGTTTAGCTGGTGGATCAGTTGGAAGATATTTTACTTGAACAGAAGAGTTGCAAATAGTTTCACCAAGCAGCAAGAACATACACTCCATAGAACCTAATCGACGTGCAATTATGTGTTCACGATAATGGTCTCCATCAGATATATTAAAAACATGTGATGGCTCTGTCTTAGCAACATACTTTGTCAAATACTTTCCAAGACCTCTTGATGTTACATATTGTACATTTATATGTGCATTCCAAAACATGAGTGTTTCTGCATGATAAGGGACAACCCATTGATCTTCAGGTTTAACACATCTGTATACATAATGAAGATCATTATCATTATAATATGTTTTTGGTGCAAATGGTCTTGGAAAATTTTTTTTGCACCTTTGTCCTGGTGGTGCAGGGTCTCCACATTTTCCATAATTACAAGTATGAATTTGGTGTTGTTTTACATAATCATACAACTCAGGTTCCAAGTCTGGATCTGGTAAGTCACTACGGATAACATTGTGGGTTATCATTTCATCAATACTTGCAGTAACCCATAGACAAGTATGTATGTGTGCTGCTCCACGATTCTGAAACTCAACTCTTTCAAAAAAGTGGTTTATTTTTCCCCATCTACAGTTTTCTTGCTTTGACCATGTGTGATGCTTTACTTCTTGCTTCAAGTGAATGAAATATAATGCAGCATGGAGAGGTCTATTAGTTGGAAGCATATCACCATTGTCAGTAGTTTCCAGAATTTCTTTCAAATGTGTCCATTTATTTTCAGCCATTGTCAGTGTAAATGAAAAGTGTAGGAAGACCAAATTCATTTGACATGGCACTTACATGTAGTAACTTTTCATGAAAGTATGAGTCACCTGTGCGTATAAATGTAGGTAAGGTCATTGTTTTACTTTCATCAATTTTTCTTTTACCATTATATAAACTGTGTGTTATTAGTGCTGCTGTTGGTGGTTGGCAAACATTAGCTGTTTGCCTTTGTCTCCAAAGGCGGGCAGTATTTTGATGATTTCGTAGTTTTTCAAGTTGCATATATGACCATGAGGGCCAATAAGGATGTAACCTGAAGCGTGAATCAACACATAGAAGCCTATGTTTGGTGTATTTTCCATATGTTTCCACTTTATTTCCATCATTTACAGTGATTTGGTAAGTTCATAGTAATGACCTTTACCATTTGGGAACAAGTCAGGAAATAATAAGGGCTCCAATTCTGGATCATTAAAAGCAAGTAGAAGAGCAGTCCCATTGGAATTCTGCATGTGAACGGCGATTTGATCATATGATTGCTGCGGTACTGAGATAGAGTAGCTCAGTATGATGATCATTTCAAATGCG